TCATTCCAGCTAATGTCCAGTCTGAGCAGCCCAGCTAGGTAACGCAATGCCGGGGCAAATGTGCGCATACCAGCGGGGCTGATACCGATCTGCCTCAAGGCCAAAACCTGCATGGCCATGAAGTTTGGGAAGACGGTGGTAAGAGATTCCAGTCCGGTGTCATTGATCTTATTAAGGCTTAGGTCCAATGCCTTTAAACCTGAGAGTTTGCCCAGGCGAGGAGTCAGGGATGCGATCATCACATCTGTTACATTGCAGCCACAAATAATGAGCACGGCAAGATGTTTAAGAACCTCAAGCCCACCCTGCAGGACTTCCATCCCCGCATCACCCAGTTCAGGGTTTGATATGAGACTCAGCTTTTCTAACCGGGACATATGCTTGAACCCCCTCACAAGTGGCTGGAGTGTTTCCAGTGTTAGATCTGCTTCCAAGAGAACCAGTGACCTTAGTTCGGGAATATTCCTCAGAACTGAAACCAGGTTGGCTGTATGTTCAGGTAAGTAGAAATACGGTACGCATAGTGTCAGGTCTAATTGCAAACCTGGGGTAGGGCAGGTAAACGTTTCCTCCAGATACTGAAGAACGTCATCTAGCCCATGGTCATTGTCAATGAAACCATTTACTTCAAGAATCATTTTGTACGGAGGGTTCGACGGATGGAAGTTTTTCAGGTAATACTTAAGAGCAGCATGCTGTCTCTTGTCCATTGCGTAGTTTTGCAACACCATATAGGGCAGAACTTGGCTGACAGCCTGCACCATCTCAGGCTCTCTCCTTGCGTACAGAATTCTCAGGCATAGAAGAACAAGCCGTTGATGCACAACATCTGCTTCTTTCCGTGGCTGGTCAAATTTAGTCGTGTGCTTAGATAATTTAGCCATACTCGTGTCGATGAGATGTGCCAGCCAGTCCATCACAGCTGTTGCTGCCCGCGAGTCGCAGCCACACGTGAACTGAAGCAGGGTACTGTATTCAAATGCCTCCTTTATGGACGTTAGTTTCATCAGATCGACAAGTTCTCGGGACCCCAAGACAGAAGCGACATACCGCCCGGCCAAGTACTCTTGAATCGTCTTGTTTGCAAATGTTAACTGCTTCCGAGGGTGCAATTTTGAGGCAGATTCTTCCGCAAAGACCACGCCAAGCTTCAACAACAGCTCACAGTTCAAGTTTTGTCTTTCTGCTTCTGCACGATCGAGTTGGGCCTCATACCTCAGCAGCGCCTCTAGCGCAAGCTTGCCGAGCTGCAGCAATGCATCGGTCAAGTCTTTAGGTATCCCGTCTGATGGCATGTCCACTCCTTCCCGCTTACAGAGCTTTCTGACCAGACACAACAGCAGGTTGTCGTACAGTCCGGTCATCGACCCGGTGGACACTATTGCTTGGTCTTCTTCCCACAATAGACAGACCAGCATGAGGAATATTGGGGTCTTGACCAAGCCATCCAAAAGATCAGTGTCAAATAGGTGCGCTGTAAGTGTCTTTACCAGGTCTTGCTTGTCAACAGCTGTGAAGTATTGGCCCACAAACTTTATCACGCGCTTATAGGAGAAGCCAATGATGTGTGCGTGGCAGTCTGGCCGAGTGTACTGCTGCACTTCTGCTGAGGGTCGGGACGTGATCACGATCGTGCTCTTAGGGTACATCTTACCAGACAACAGTTTGGGAATGGCCTGCCCAGCTACCCTGGCCTCAGGCCGCAGCTCATCATACCCATCTAGGAGAAAGAGTACCCGAGACTCGTTGTTCTGCAGTATTGTATAAATGGCCTGTACATCCACACCCTTAGTTGTTTCCGGAACACACTGGTCACACACCATCTCCTCTATAGTCTCTCCCTCCCACACCTCCCGGAGTCGGATCAACAGGACGATGTCGTGCCGTCTGCTTAGCTCTGTTTTCTGTGAGACAGCATCCATGGCTTCTTTGGACATAAATGTTGTCTTCCCCCCTCCCGGTTCGGCTTCGATTAGAATGCACCTTGGTGCTTTAGACTGCCCTTCGACACTCATCTTGAACAGGTCGTCTAAACCCTTTATTTCTGAATCTGTATCTGAACGTTTTTCACGTGTTTGTATTAGTTTCAATTCTGTGAAAACATCACTGAGGCTGAGTGTGAAGTTATCATTCCAGATCAGCGGTTTGAATTTTGTTAACTTCAACTCATAATACTCTCTTATGGACCTCTTGAACACACCTGAAATAGGAATTGTAAACATTGTTCAAACTAATGAGAATTAAGTTCTGTGATGTTTGCTTGCAATAGTTGTTATTTGTCTAACAGTGTGCTAAGTTTATCTACTCCTCTGCAATTTTCATTGAAGGGCTATGATATTGATCATGATTGTCAAATTTGCCCCAGATAAAATAGTTTAATTGCACAAAAGAACGACTCACCTTCTGTGGGTATTTCCTCCTCTTTCTTCACCGGCAACTCTACAGACAATAGTGTAATGTTACAAACAGATATAATGTCAACACTGGTATCAGGTTACAATGAATGTACAGCATGGCCATATATATGGGAAATTATGCAAATTATTTAGGCAGTATCTTGCCTTCTTGGCCTATTTCTTATTTTCGTAACTCTTTTAAGGGTTTTACTGTTCCGAAGAGAGGGACCCTACCTATTCAATTACTATAGTATGACTGCATTATAGTATGAATGCAGTAATATAGCTATAGCTTTTCGTCTTCATGTTCTTTATCCAGTGTTTATCCAGCCTTAAAAGCTTTAGAAAGTTATACAATGTTAATGCAGAGACATTTCTGTTATGGTCAGGGATAGCAAAAAAGCTACAGTTCTTACCAGGATATTTGTTCTTCAGCCTGTCCACAGTACTCTGTAACCCTGCCTCAGACAGAGCCTTCATCAGGACCTGTATGGTGGCTCTCTCTCCGTTACGCTTGAGCCATTCCTCCAACAGGTCCATACAGCGAGACTTGTCATCTCGGTTTCTGCCGGCAATGTTGTCGGTGTCTGCCTGGCCAAATCCTAGATGGAAGGCCAGGTCCTTCCAATCTGAGCTGACGTTCTCCTTGGTGTCGAAGAAGTACTTACGTACCCCTGCAAATCACCAAACATTTTTAAAAATAATCTGCGTCTCGAAAAATATGGCAATCAGACCCAACTCATTTAAAGGCGTTATTAGCAGTGAAGAATCACTTGCGATCACACAATACAGTTAGATGTCAGTTGGGTATTTCTGATGTGCTTGATAATTGGTACGAAAGCAGATTTGTTTAAAATTTTGTTTGTACAAGAATAGATCTGTCATCTGATGTCTGTTCTACCCTATCAACAGGCTTACCTGTAAAGGTTTGGTTTCCTCCTTGATGCTCAGCCATTTTCATCACTCAGCGTTGAAACTAGCACGTCCAGGTGTACGTCCAGTACCCCCAGTTCTTGAGACAGGCGGTGTAGCTGTGAAAGGCTTCGATTGGAGACTGGCTAGTCTTGAGTTCTTCACAGTTTAAATCCAGTGACGTCGCCCCCCTCCCCATGGTGGGAGGCAAGGAGGCGACACCAGACCCACTTAACGTGGGTTATCCATTCCTGCCACGCAATGGAAGAAATTAATTGTGCCAATTTAGGCCGTAGAGTTGTGCAAAAAAAGAATTCTTCACGCCCAACTCGCGAAATAACGTTGCTTTAGAAGTAATGAAGACGACAAGCTAGCTGGGAAAAAGAGGAACTTCGGAAAGTCCCACGTTGGCAGTGGGCACGCCAAAACATTCAAGTTGAATACATGGTAGTTCATGTTTGACGGTGGAATAATGCCAGGCGTCGAAGCGTGAAGTTACACCGTGTCGCACCAGTGCAAAGGCAAATACAGAGAGATGTTTGTGTTCGCAGCGGCCTCTTTGTTCAGCAGAAACATGAGGTCATTTGCAGTCTGCTGTTATTGTTACACCTGCAAAGGAGGTTAGGATAATATATTTTACAGATGGTGATTAGTAGCTTTGAGTGGTCAACACTGGCGGTTCCGTCGTAATGTGCGCCTTACATCGTCATTTCCTGGATCTTGAAATCCTGACTAGTTCAGTAACCTTTGTAATAAATATCTCTCCATATTCACCCCCCCAACACACATGCATACACACAAAAGAGACACGGAAAAAACATTCTGATGCACATTTTGTTTTTGCAACATATATTGTCACCAATGATCCTTAAATACACCAATAAAATAGTTTTAATTAGACATTGTTTCCCTATTCACATAAAGTATAACCAGTTCAATCATATTGCCAATACAAACAAGTGTACGTTTACCAAATGATGACAAACATATCTACCTGTCAATCTAATATGTGTGTGTATTGATAGTTCCATCCTACATCACTCTTCCTAACATTCTATATCATTTTAAGGCACTTTATGATCAATGCAATTGTCCTGTACATCTTCAGCGCCTACATGCAATTCAACAAAACATTTCATTTATACCTTAACCTCCATACATCATAATCAGTCTATTAGCTAGAACACGGGATATCTCAGCTCTACATACAAACCAGCTCTAGAAATACGAACCAGCATCACCATGATAATAAATAGGTTTTGAATTGCACGCAATGCAAAAACACCTACAAAGAATGGAAAAAATTCTACACCAATAATCAAACATATGTTCACCATATTCTCTTATTTTCTAATCTACACATAAATGTTGTAAGGATCAAGCAACGTTTTCCACCAATGACATAACATTTTGCCACAAAGATATCAGTGTGCTAAAGGGAACTTACTGCGTTAAAATGCTCCCTTACTTCCCCACCACAAAAAAAAAAACAATTTTACTACTAAAATCAAAGAACCCACATATTATAGAAGAAGTGGGTAAATTCGTCTTCCATTGCCTAAAAAGAAGAAGTCAAACCCAGTAAAACTAGTACCATGCATGTTGTAGAATATGGGATAATGCTAGACATAGATATAGTCTCACATAGCACTGTATTTTCTTTCTTATGTTGTTTGTAACTGCAATTAGCCCTCGGGCAAGTATTTGCAATAAACTTTCTTATTATTAAAAGAATGACCAGAAAAATGACTTGAAAATCCAGCTTTGCCTCCCTGAAATTGTAATAGATGCCTTTAAACTGTACATTCACAGCTCAATCTTGGCCTCCGTGCCTTGCCCATACTCGTACACATACTGGTGCTCCACCGTGATCAGCGGCGTTGCCACCACGGGACCCTCGGTCTCGTAAGACCAGACCACGCGGCCCGTCTCACGGTCCACGCAGAAGACGGGGCCGGAGATCGAGCCTACATACACGCGGCCGTGCTTATCCAGTCTGGGGCCGGACCAGATCTCTTCACCGGCAGGAAACTTCCATACAACAGAACCATCTGGAAGAAAAAACACATCAGTCTTTCTTACCCCAACATTGTACATATAGGATCATGTCTTAATGGTTGAAATATACTTAAAAATGAAGCACATTCTTAAGCTATACTACATAGTTTTGTACTAAAGGCTGAATAGTCTCATTGTGTGGTTGTTGTCAACATAGCAGTGAAACAATGAATGTGGAACTAGCTTTTAATCAAACCACTGCAAAACTGTATCAACTGGTAAGCAAGGACTTTAACTGTTGGAGCCAATTGATTAAATTGCTGTAGCCTAATGGCAACATCAAAACAATGCAAATTGGCTTGAGTCTATATCACTTTGTGTTGTTGAGAAATGAGAAATGTCGGCATCTTGAAGACAACAAAGAGTATAACTGACCTTCTTGTTTGAGTTTGAGGAGGTTGCCGTCACCTGAGCCGATATACAGGTAACCCTCATTGTCCAGGGCCGGTGACGACTGGATTTCATGATCACCTCCGAACTCCTTCTCCCACTTCAGTTTCCCTTGCTCAATGTCCACAGCCATGACTGACCCTCCTCTTGTGCCTGTGAAATAGAACAGCAGTCCATCATTCTACTTCTCTAGGTAGGGCCAAAAACTGCCTCAATGAATGTAAGCTACAGAGGAGTCCAATTTGATACTGTCTTTGCAGGGACAGAAAGATCTGCTTGCTTGGAGATTATGTCTACATTGAAAAACACCTACTTGAATGGGTGGCCCATTGGGTACTGTCTGGCAAATGGATACTGCCTGGCCAATTTGATACTGTTCCAGCTACCAAAAGATTATTACAGCTTGGAGATTAACTCCTACCCACCAACAAACAGTGTTCCGTCCCTGCTGATGACAGGAGAGGAGTCTATGCCGTCATGGTGCTCCCCGATGTCAAACTTCCTGACCAGACTGCCGCTGTCTGCCAGGAGAGTGTAGATGTGGGAGTCCTTGGAGCTGTAGTACACGTACCGGCCGTCAGGGCTCAGGACCGGGCCGGTGAATATCGGACCCGCTGCTTTGAAGGACCAAACAGGAGCCCCTGTGAAGAAGAAAAAGAGATAAAGAATGTATATGTATGGTTTTATGCTGTTGGTGTTACATGTTCACTTGATATGATTTTTTTTCCTTCATCGACATAGCATCATTTCGAGTGTCAAAGGCATACTATCCTGGGAAAATTTTGAAATCCTAACTCTATTTTGAGGGGGAAATTTTGCTGGTAGATTGAATAGCAGTCAATCAAATATTTTTGAAACAAGCACAAGCGATTGCAATATTGCACACTTAATGTTTAGTAATTCAGGAAAATGGATAGACATGTGTTGCCTATTTCTTTATATTTGATGCCGTACCTGTTTGTGTATCCAGTGCAAAGGCGTTGGAGTTGGTTTCTGCCATTGTTCCGACATACACCAGCCCTCCGTCGTGTGCCAAGGCAAGGTGTATCCAGATCTCTCCGCCCAGGTCACGCGACCACTTCACGCTCCCATCTGGTGTGAAGGCGTACATCTGGTTGCCCAGGGTGCCGATGTAGACCGTACCATCCGGGCCAACTGAGGGGGAGCACGTCACTGCGCCACCTGTAACAAACATAGCAGTGGTACTTCACTGTAATTCCTGATTTTTTTTTCACGGCACATGTTTGCTGCTTTCGTGGTAACAAATGTTCTGCAAACGTATCGTTACCGTCAACAAATAGTTTGCTGATTCTCTTTCTTCTGCACCTGCTGCCATAATGAACATTATAGTTCTGTGAACACCTCAATTTTTCTCAGACCGTAAATTTTTGCTACCGTGAACATGATGTGAGTACGTGTAACAGTATATCATTGAAAACAACAGCTAACCTTCGTTTTGACTTAAAAATGAAAGTAAGTGCAAACACACAAAGTACAAAACACATGAAATTACTTTAAAGCCGACATAATTTTCTTAATTTCAGCATTTTCACGAAAAATAGGTACAGGTGTACTCCAGTGGAGATCTAACAATCAAGTTAAACTTACATTTGATGGTATAAATTCTAAATACTCGGGAAAAAAGCAAAATGTACACATTAAGGTAGAAGGTATTATTTCACACTATTGACAAATAATAAGCTGTCTTACACACCTGTTTTATATCTCCATAAGACGTGCCCATCTTTAGCTTGTAAGGCATTGACATGTCCGTCCTCTGTTCCAAAGTACACCACAGACCGATCAGGGCTGAACGCAGGAGAAGAACCAAGATCCTCGTCTATAGGCAATGGGAGAAATGTTATGAACATGAGTTTAGGATGTCTCTCTTACCGGTGTACCAGTCTGTAGAAGCAGTGCCCTTGTGTCTGCAGTGTTTTATTTTCCTCTTGCAGATTAACTGTTGTGTTCAGCACCAAGGACAGGCGAAATGTGTGTGTGTATGTATGTGTGTGTGTGTGTGTGTGTGTGTGTGTGTGTGTGTGTGTGTGTGTGTGTGTGTGTGTGTATGTGCGTGCATGCGTGCGTTTGTGTGACAGTGTGTGTGTTTCCTGTGTGTTTTGTGTTCAGCACCAAGGACTGGCATGTTTTTGTGCATGGATGGGCAGCTATGTAAGCATGGGGGGGATACTGTCCGGCAAAAGCGATTACAAGATTACCATTGCCATTGCCACTCTCTTATTGCCCGTGTTGTAATTCACTTTGACTAACCTGTAGTAAATGTCCACTTCACTTTTCCAGTTTCCCCATCCAAGGCAAACATTGTTCCACTGTCAGAACCGACAAAAATGGTCTCATCTTTCGGATTCACAGGCTCAAACAACTTTGTCCTCTTCTGATGTTCACTGTTCTTCTGTGCTTGGACGTCTTCTTCTTCTTCTTCTTGTTCACTGTCATTAGAGCTCCCTATAATCCTGTTCCACTCTTTCTCATCTGTGTACACGGAAGGTAGACCATCCTCGTCTATCTTTACCGGCGCGATCTTTTCATCAACAACACGGATGCTGAGCTTGTTCAGTTCCATATTAAGCACCTCGAGGTTGTTCAGAATGCGCTCCGTCTTCACAGACTTTGGGATGATGACAACACCTTTCTGTAAGGCCCATCGGAGGACGATGTTAGCCACGGGGATGTCTAAGGTTTTGGAAAGTTTTGCCAAAATCGGACTGGTCAGGACGGGGTTCTTTGCCTTCTCCACCTTTTTCTTCCTGAACATCCACTCCGTCCACATGCCTCCCAGCGTGCTGTACCCCTGGTACACGATCCCGTGTTGTTTGCAGAACTCTCTCGTGGCCTCGTCACGGTAGAAAGGGTCGAACCAGTTCTGTACAACGGACACTGGAACTTTTGCCATGGCCAGCAGCTTCTCCAGGTGTTTCGGGTAGAAGTTGCTCACGCCCAGGCTGCGAACTTTGCCCTCGTTATGCAGCTCCTCCATGGCCTTCCAGCTCTCCTCCCATGATGCTTTGGGCTCACCCGGTTCACACTGGTAGTGAGGGTCGCTGCAGTCTCGGTCGTGGATCAAGAGAAGATCGATGTAGTCCACGCCAAGTTTCTTAATGGAGTCCTGAACTGTGCTGAGTGTTAAGTCTCGGCCGAAGAATCTCGGGGAAAGCTTAGTGACGAGGAAGATTTCTTCTCGAGGGATGCCTGAGTCCTTTATGGCACGGCCGACTTCTTCCTCAGAGTTGTAGCGGTAGTACGACTGTGCTGTGTCAATCATCCTGCAAAGTAGCAACAGCAACAACAAAAAAGTTTACCAAATGCTAAGATGGTATGGCCACCTACAAGGAATGGACAGTGAGAAGTGGACTAGAAAGACAATCACACAGTACGTGGAAGGCCAAAACCCACGAGGTTGACCAATGATTGACAATGTAAGGGAGGATTTTCATCACCTTAACCTACACAACGTCAACCCATAGGATAGACGCGAATTGGTTGCCATCGATGATAACACTACCTCTTGGTACGACAACCCATTCGCAAGGGTTTATAATTAGCATGTGTAGGAGTGAGTGAGTGAGTGAGTGAGTGAGTGAGTGAGTGAGTGAACCATAGCTTACCTGTACCCAGCCTTCAATGCAAACAGCACCAGATCATATGTCTTCTCCATCATCCCAGCCGTCCCAAGGCCAAAAACAGGAACTGCAAGAAAGTCAGAGCGTCAAGATTATTCATAATACTACAGTAATGTAATTCACACTTTGTGTTTACGGTACCAAAATTTCCCGGTTTGAGAAAAATGGAGGTATTCAAAGAACTATATGTTCGCAGTGGCAGCAGAAGAACGTCGACGGTTGATTTGTTTGTGGTAATGATACGTTTGCAGTACAGAAGTGACTGTGAAAACTGTGAGCATAGAAGTTACAAGTTGAGAAAACAAAACTCAAACTGTTAGCTTTGAATTCAAGAGAGAAGCTCAACATCCTTCAGTTAGTATTTGATAAAAAGTCTAATTGACAAAAAAATTATCTTTGTCATATTTGATGCCAAAGACGACAGCATGCGATACATTTTCATATCAAAGATATTAATGTTCCTCTAGGACTGCGATACATACTTGTGTGTCCACTGGGCATCCTGAAATCTGGCATGTGAGCCTCAGGGTTTTCCTCTACATTAAATCCCATGATCCTTTTCAACACGTCCTTGTCTAGGATCGGTTCCCCGTCTTCGTGAATCTTCACGGGAACGATGGCATGATTGATATAGGCCATGTGGGACTCACTCAGGTCCTGGTCAAGAACATTAAGGTTGTTCAAGATGTGCTTCTCGGTCACGGCTTTGGGGATCACCACAACGTCCTTCTGTATGGCCCAGCGTAGAACGACGTTGGGTACCGACTGGTCCATGGAATCGGCGATGGCGAGGAGGTCGACATTTGTGAGGACGGGGTTAGCTATCGGTGGGTCGAACGTATCCGGCCACACCGTTCCGAGCGTGCTGTACCCCTGGTACACGATGTCGTGCTGGCGGCAGAACTCTCTCGTGGCCTGGTCCTGGTAGAACGGGTCGAACCAGTTCTGCACCAGGGAGACAGGCACCTTCGCCATGTCCACGAGTTTGCTCAGCTGTTTGGGGTAGAAGTTGCTGACCCCCAGACTCCGGATCTTTCCCTCTCGGTGAAGCTCTTCCATGGCCTTCCAACTCTCTTCCCACGATGCGTTGGGATTATCCAGGGGGCATCTGTGATAACCGTCGTCACCGTCCGCAACCTCCTCCTCACAGTATGGAGAGTGGATCAGGAACAGGTCGATGTAGTCAGTCCCCAGCTTCTCGAGCGACACGTCGACGGACTTCTTGGTTGGACCGGAGCCGAAGAACGTTGGCGCCAGTTTGGTGATGATGAAGATGTCCTCTCTGGGAACGCCGGAATCCTTGATGGCTCTGCCGATGGACTCCTCTGAGTATGTGTAGGATTGCGCTGTGTCGATCATTCTGTTCAGATAAGAAAAGTAGATACATGTACTGTTAAACAACCAACCAACCAACCAACCAACCAACCAACCAACCAACCAACCAACCAACCAACCAACCAACCAAACAAACAAACAAACAATCAATGAATCAATCAATCAATCAAACAAACAAACAAACAAACAAACAAACAAACATTTACTCCCATGTATGTTAGCATAGTGTGACCGTCACAGATTTCACAAACAGGACTCTTTTCTATCAGCAGACAGTCCTGTTATATCATAGATGCACTACCTGTAACCTCACCTGTAGCCAGACTTGAGCGCAAATAACACAGCGTCATATGTCTTCTCATCCATCTGTGCTGTACCCAACCCAAGAACAGGGACTGAAAATGAAAAGAAACATATTGATAAGTAAATTGTTATGTCTAATACTAGTTAGGCCACACTGATGTAATTTTATGAATAAACCTGCGCGCATTAATTTTTGCCTGTTATAAAAAATCACTTACAACAATTAAGACTGGTGCCATCCTCTGTAGTCCACGGTAGCTAATAGCTACAGCAACAATGGGAACTGGCAGTACCTAGGCCTGTCGTAAAGTAATTATGTACTATTTGGTCTAAATCTGAGTATGTCATCCATTTAAGTCATTGCGGCCTTATTAAGAAGTTATACATGATAGATTTTTTTTGTTTCTGACTGTTTCTAAGTAATTAAAGTTGATATATACATACATATATATATATATATATATATATATATATATGCCTCACACTGTTATGAAGTTATGAATTTCAAAAACTCTTACTAGAATATCCACTAGCCATCGTCTTGTCTGGAACAGGTTTTGCCTCCTCGATTTCACCAGTATTGCTGGTGGTGAGCCATATTTCCTTCTTCTCTTGGGACAAAGATGCTACAATCTAAAGAACAAGGCATATTTTACAAAGAAGAATCATGACAACAGAACGTTGTGTTGTGAATGGAAATAATTGCCAATTTATGTATTTCACAACAAACGAACAAGAATGATGACAGAAGTAAGAACCCTCCACACCTTTCGGAAAAGGGTAGGGGCAAACTGCCCAAATGTGCGAATTGGTCCAAATACTACTATCTGGAAGTTAGTGTGATTCACTACAAATCACCCAGATGGAGGCCTAGCTGATGAACCCCCGTCTCATAAGAATTTAGTCACGTCTCATAAGGATTTACATCATCACCAGGACTCTGGGATGAAAAGTCAGAATTGGCACAGTAAAGGAGATCCTAACCAAACAAACAAACAAACAAACAAACAAACAATCAATCCAACAAACAAAGTCTGATCTAACCTGAGACAGAGGCGGCGGAGGTCCTGGCTTACAGCTGGTCTCTTTAGGTTGCTCCTCCACGCACCTTGAGAACAGCTCGCTGGTCTCAACAATCTGCAGCAATGTGTTGTACTCTTTCTCTGCTCTTGCATTGCACTCTGTAAACTGCTCAAACCAGATACTGAAGGCGATGTTCGGGTCTTCTTCAGAACGTACCTGTCATGTGTAGGAATATTTTATGCATTATTCAATGCATATATCGCATTTAGAAATTTTACCAAAGACTACAATGTAACCCCCATTAACATTTATCCACTGGGTATATATATGTGGGATTGAATGACCAAGCGGCTATGTCAGTAGACAGGGGATTGAGAAGGCACTGGTTTGATTCTTTTCATCCCTGGTTAGACATTGGGTTATTGCGAATTTAGGCACTTTACACAACTTTCCTACTTCGGTTGGGTAGGTAAAAAAGGTAGGAAACAAAGGTATATATAAGGGAAAAAGCCGCAAGGTGCCATCTACAAAAAAAAGACTACCTCAATAGAGAACAGTAATTATAACAGAGAACAGTAATTATCATGAAAGTTCATCTGTGTTGGTAGTAATCATAGTAAAATATTGAACTTTATTCCAACTCACAGTTTACAGAGAGATCAAATTTTCAGCGACCACTGTCGCCTTCATCAGGATAATTAATGATCAATCACTTCATAACGTAATCTCGCAAGAGACGGTTTACAAACACGTGACCTTAATCACATGCGCCTTTACTGATACGTGACGTAAGCAATTGATGAAAAGTGCCAAGAGGACAGTAATCTCCAAGCAGATGCTATGTTGGCAAGGCAGTATCCATTGACGAAGATGGCTACTGGACACTCCTTTTAGATCTGGCCAATGTATACTGCCTTGCCACCGTAGGATGTGCTTGTAGATTAGAGAATAGCTGCTCAATACCTTGAATGTCAACATATGAATTACGTACGTACCTGGTGGAACCAAAACTGTGGAATAAATAACATGTCCCCTGCCTCTAACTCAGCAATGGAATAGTCCACCTCAGCGACAAGTGGATACTTGACTAGGTCTATCTCCTCTGGGTCCAGGGGGGCCAACCCTAAACATCATACAACATTTAGGACAACTAAAACATAGTCATTGCTTTTGCAGGACTTTACCCAAGGTAGCAAGTCATGATACCCAAGCTTATGTGTTTTTCTACCAGGATGCTTCGGTGAGGTCTTTTTACCCACCGAGTTTGTCAGAGATGACAAATTGGGCAAAATTTTTTGTCCATCATGAGAAGCAAAATTCCGTCAAATGATGGAAAAACTGGCTGAACACTGGTGTATACACATAAACCCACCTGGTAGCACGGTGAAGTTGTTCATGTACAGGTGTCGGGAGAACTTGGGGTGGCTCACCAGCACAGATTTCCTCCCTGACACCACTGTCAGGATGTTGTCCAATCCGTCATGGTGAATAACATAACTGGTGTTCCCTGAGCTGTACAGCAGGTTTATACTCGTCAACTGGGGAAAACAACAACACATCATCACTTAACCCTGCAAGTGTTACCTGAACTGTACAGCATGTTTATTTTTATCAGAATTGATAATAAGAATTGATTGAATGCTGTATTTGCATTTAACTTCAAGACAACTACTACAAAGCATTTACCCAGAACAGAGGCATTATATCAAGTCTTTGCTCAGAGTTATGATTCAATGAAAATTGCTTTTGTTGCTATGACACAAACGTTCCTTGATATGAATATGATGTAAATGTGCACTATTGCATTGCCGGAAAGTGTTTTCCCGTTACACAAAGTCAGTCACTAGACATACTTTTCGTTCCAAACTGTTACGATTCATACATCTTAAGTCACAAAAGCAAGTCAAGATGAAGGAAGTTATGATTCATTGTTGGAAAGCTTAATGCCTGTTAGAGGCTACAAAATACCCCAACCCTGTTACTTACCAAATCACTTGGCTCATTACAGGCCAGAAAGCGTGGCAGTTCCATGTCTTTGTACATCTGACTCGAGATGCTCATCGGAGAATCCAGATAGACCGGCTCATCCCGGTACATCTTCAAGAAGTCTCGAAACTTCATTTTCTTCGTGAAGACAAAGCTGCCTTTCCAGACCTTGCGGAAATCTACCTCGAAGACTTCGTCTCCGAATGCTTCGGTGAGGTATTGGTCGTTCCCGGGCCATTTTTGAGCCGCTGGCCAGTGAGCAGCTCCCCCCTTAATGAGGACGGGGATGTGTTTGCGGACGTAGTCGCGGTAGAACGTCTCGGGGTCAGGGACGGCGTCGATAGTCTCGACCGTTCCAGACGGCGGCTTGTGACAACCGAAAGGCTTCATGTGGCATTTTTGCAGGACTTGGCTGTCCGCGGAGACATCGCAACGTCGCGACGCTACAAGCAGGGTGACGAGGATGACAAGGTGCCTCAGACAGGACCTGTACACCGGTGATCTACTGTGTTCTCGCATGTTGTAGGATGATGTACTTTAGATGATCATTTCAACCTGGACAGACAATTTGGAGGAAAAAGTTGCTTGTGGTCTCGGACTGGAGTTTTTTTTTTCACGATTTTAGATCCGGCGGACACCCTCAGACCGAAGGGCTACAACTCCGCCAAGAAAAGTACGCCGGGAAATCTCATTATATCAGTCAACGGAGGTTTCCAGCCGGCTTCCGATAGAATTTTGGTTATTGTCTGTTGACTCTATAATTTGGGTAAAAACTGTAGTCTAACGAAAATTTTGGATACGAAAAATATAGTTTTTTTTTTGCATTTTTTTCAACGGACTTGTCTGGAAAAAAACGAATTTTCCCGGGCTAACGGCTTATATGCTGAAATAGCTTACTACTTCCTGTTTCTGAAAAACGGAAAAAATATAGGTTGTTGCGATAAGTTTTTCGCAAAATCCGCTCACGCGACTGCCTTGAAATTCCACATAGAACGCAGCTATTTGGGTCATCAGGCGACAAACCGCATCACCCTTGCTCGCGGACTAATACCAAAAATGCTTCGCTGGCCGTCCAGCTTCACCACGCCGAAAAACACTACAATCCCAAGGCTTTTTGATCAATTCAAAACCTACTTGAAAATCTACAACGATAACCGAGCCATGGGGAGCCAAATCTAGCGTGACAACCTCGCAGATCCGACGATTTACTGCGCACTATTTTTGTGACACAGACAACCATCGTATATAGTCCACCGTACATGTATGTCAGCTACAGTCGCCCAGGGCAAACTATGCATAGGCATTACTGAGAAATAAGGAGGTGACTAGTCTAGTTAGTATTATCCTTATGTACTAGTATAATATATGAGCCCCGTATTGCCTCTATTGCGTGTGCCGGCTTAGTGTTTGCGGGCTGGTTTACGGGCTGCAGACAACAATTCAGGGTTAAACAGGTACATTTTTGTTATGTAAAGAATAGTAACATTAAATACATGCTAAAACACCGTGTATACAAGTACTTCTTAATATTTTCCCTTTGACATTTTCCCTTTAAAGTTTAAGGGTCGCCCAAACACCAACTGCTGTGAAACATAATTCATTTTACTTACGCTCTGTGAGCTTTTGTTTACGCTAAAAAGGCATTAAACAATCTCATTAACATTAACAGTAAGTGCGTTAAACATTTTCAACATCAAGGCCCATGCGAGTTACTTAAACACACTGTTATATAAAGATTGTCGTCCAAAATATCGTCGAAAATCTCAAGGAGGGAGGAAAGCAAAGATTTAACCCCAAACTCACCTGTTTCCGACGCGAGGAGCACCTGATAAACCTGTTCTACCGGTAACCATTCTAGCTGGCATTTTGCATCACAAGCTTGTCGTACGCACGTGTAGTTATTTACGACAGTAGTCGGTTTCCGGCACATTGTCGACCGCGAAGCAGCGACATCTAGCGGTTCTATATCAAACCGATACGGATCGCTCGGGCGGTGCATGCCCAAGGAAAGAGTCGATCAGCGGCCTGTGTACCAGCAATATCCCGAGCGTATTCCGGCAGCTATAATGTTAGAATTTTAGGCTTCTGTATTGCTCCTCACCTTTCCAACACTTTGAGCTAAGTAAGACCTACGATCTAATAAATACTATAGTCTCTACAATAAACTTATAAGTTTGTAATCGAAAAGAAAGTTAACTTGAAAAGGCAATGATCAATATTGGTCAGAATACGGGCAGTTTTACCACGTAGGTCGTCAAACAAAGGCGAGAATTTACACTCTAAACCTTTTATAATGGGGTGGACTACATAAGGTTTTACTTCTTGTATACTAGTAGTTCTTAGTCACATAAAGTTGGTCTCCATCTCTTAAATTATTCAACTCCACGCTGGCTGGCGGTCGCACTGCTGTTAAGGTATTTCACAGACGGATGCATTCAGCTGTTCCACAAGTGATACCTGTAATATCGCTACCGCTACCTATGGTAGCTGTGCACGACATCAATTGCACCGACAGTTCTACTGCAGTGATCGGCTGGTCCTATTACCTTCCATCGCTCGTGATCGGATGCGCTTCTCAATTATTCACCCGTGGTCCATGCCAGGCGGCCGTACATACCCTCCAACAGGGCTCGAAATATTTTTTTCTGGTATGTGCAGAAATGCACGTTGGCAAAAATATTAGAAAAAAATGCACCTAAATTGCCACAGAATACATGAGTTTGTAAAAACTAAAATTGCACCTAAATTGCCACAGAATACATGAGTTTGTAAAAACTAAAATTGCACCTAAATTGCCACAGAATACATGAGTTTGTAAAAACTAAAATTGCACCTAAATTGCCACAAAATACAGGAGTTTATACAAGAATAAGTGACCAAGCACGAACAATGCAAGCACTTGTATTTATTTGCCAATTGCTCAACAGTAATACATAGGGATAGAGACTTCTGCTGAATGGCCATGTTAACAGATTACGATAGAATAAGATATCGACATCGCTGGCTGAGAGACATGACTATTGACTGTGCATGTGATGATGAGCAGACTTGATAACCAATGTATCAACGTTAAGTCCCCTTTCTTTTCAAGTTTCCCTTTATGTATAAACTTCGGAGATATGCAGTGCAAATGCATCATATATAGGTATTTTCTAGGTTCAAAATTGCACATTCCAAATATTTTTATGAGCAAATCTTGAAGACCATGTTCATTTTGCATATAGCACCCGGGTGTTTCGAGCCCTGACTCTGATATCATAGCAAACGTTGTTTCGCAGGAGAGGACGATTTGGGTAGCCTCAATAGAATGCCAAAAACTGGGGGGTTTTGGGGTCTTCAGGGTCTTTGGGATGTTTTATGTGCTATTTTCTGATTGCATATAGACAACATAGCCGGCCTGGTTGAATTACCCCCGTTTTAGAACTGGGCTAATCAGAAAACAGCCGAAGACCACCAAACCCCCAGTTGTATAAGCCTGCTACGGACGCTAGATTTGGGCTCGTCCACCCGTGGCGCATCCCTACAGCTTGCCGCTAGTTCCCCGCGCCGCCCGTACAAGAGGAGGGCTTGAGAACACTGCAGCGTCTCACTGGCAAGTAAAGCGCCTTCCAGAGCGTTCGCAGCGGTAAAACCTGACTTCATTCGCTGTGCTACTGTATAGTTTTGCGTGTGGAAGAACCGGGGTATATCGGTGCTGGATACAATAAGAGGAACGGTGTACGGAATGGATACGGGGATGGGAATTCAAAGAACAGTTCTCATCGTTACTGTGAGCTGCGTTCTGGCTTCCCTTCACCAAGGTAAGGTGTACGAGTACTAGATTGTAGTGAATGTTTTAGTTAGGGGGATTACTGTTCTATGATACGTTCTAGATCTATTGATAGGATCTTTTCATAGGGTTTCAGTTAGGGTGGTTGTTGTTCTATCATTGGGTGCGTTCTCGCTATAGCATAGTCGATAGAGTCGACTACACGGGTTTTACAGAGGTATTGCTCACAAGCATTATTTTATAGCTATTAAAAGGTAAGGTATTTTAAAGCAGCTCTTTTCTCGAGTTATCACTGGCTTGCAAGGGTCACGTCCATGGATAGATGGATGGCAAATATGTCTCTGTGTGTGTCGCTGTTTTCCTGTTATGTTTTGCGGTACAACATCACCAACCCATCACATTTCGGTATGACAAAGTATTTTTGATCTTTAGCTCGGAAAAATATGTTAGAAGGGGTCAATGGCCACGTCGAGATCAAATGACTTTTTTCTTTCGATACGTGTCATGGTCGGCAAATTTACCAACTGATAACGAAATTACGTGGCGTAAATCCATCGTTTGGGCGCATTTGTAGAAAGTTAAGACCCAGAAATGATAAATCAGATGTCTGTTCCTGTAAGGCTCCTGCGATTTCACGGCACAGTGCCGACACCACGCCGCGCAGGTGGAATCCCTCACAATCAATAGAATTATCACGCTCCAAGGACGGGGCGAAACACGGAGAGAAGAACGGGCTTCCCTTCAACACACCTGCCTGCTATTTTATAGTCCACCACGTGAGATGTTTCTAGCCTCTACCAGGCCTCGGGAAGCGACTGGAAAGAGTAGAAATATTGGTCAAATAGACAGATGATACTCATATCCCAGGGGAGTTGGTCCGCGATAACGATAGGAGTACATTTGCTGCTGTTCTCTTAGCGCGGACCAACTCCCCTGGCATATCAGCTGTCGACATGTTTTTGCAGTTGGCCAATTTCTACTCTTTCCAGCCGCTTCTGGAAGCCAACAACAGGCTAATTAAGACACATCTACAATCGGTTCTCCCTAGCTCCAACAGTGCTGCATGAGCTGTAGTATAGCCAAGTTAGTTGGGACATAAAGGTAGAAGGTGCATTTCACTGAATCACGTATACGTATTACCTTAAGTTCTATGCCTGGATGGGCTAGCATTGGATCAGGAACGGTTCTTGATGTGAATATTGTGACTGGTTTAGCAACATGACTGAAGTGAAAAAAATTGTACATAAATGTCACTACAGGATCACTATGCATGGATTATACATAATGCATGTAGTCTCTCAGAGTTGTTCAAGCCATTTGGACTAGCTATGTATACCATTCGTGTACCAGCTTTCAACACTATCCGTGCGATTTAGAGCCGCCTCACTCATCCCGATATTGATATAGACAGTAGCAATTTGGACTTTTGACAAACGTGAAGCAAAGTTTCTATTTCATGCAACAGTAGCTTCTCAGCGATAGGTAATTCCCGTAAGGCGCGTACGTCGTAACCAATTTTTAAAAGATCTATCTCAGAGTTAAATGCAATAAAAAGTGGCGACTGCTCTTCAGATGTCATATCTGTACAATCCATATTTGGGCCTAGTAAGCTGGTTAGTGTTATCAAACGTTTAACCATTAATTCTATTTACTTGTGAGAAAATCCAGGTCATCACTCAGGAGTAGTCAGCTGATCGCATGTAGATAATGTCAGAACGTGCCCTCCTTCTGAATGTCGAAAAGGGCATTTCAATTTGTAGAAAAGTGTAGTGCTTTTTGGTCCCTATTCACCGGGACCATCGCCTTCATTAAGTGGGGAATCACTGCTTTCAAAGGACTATTTCCAAATTGTCATTGTTCGACCCTGTTTTTAGCAAGGGATCGTCTATAAAGTCTCTGGTGATATGAAAAGAAATTTTAATAAAATACGTCCATTGATATATAAAGAGTAATGTAGAGTGTATCGATAGGATGGTCTTTCCTGCACGCCTATTCTCAAACAATGAAAACAAATTCAGATACTACAAGTGAGAGAAGACAAACATTTGCAAGTTGGTGATTCACTCCATGATCCAAATCACCCGGATGGAGGTCTGGCGAACCCCCGTCTCGTAGTAGCTACACGATGATTTAAATCATCACCAATGCGGAATCCAGGGAGATTAGTGTGAAATTTATGTAACACTAATGATATCCTAATAAAACAAACAAACAAACAAACAAACACGAGCAGTAACGTTCTCTAAAATAAGGGCGGGGTGGAATAAGAATGTTATTTATTACCGATAGGATCAAAATTGATCTTAATAGGGATCACGACAAGCACAGAAAGCAGGCCCGGCTATGTCCAGGCTTTTGGCCGGGAGTCGCTTTGAATGCGTGAATATATGGCGTTGAAAACACGCAGATGCGCCCAAATCATATCTCCGAAGAACAGCCTGAATCCACCGCCAGGCCATTTCCATCTTCCTGCTCTGTTCTAAATCTGTCTTCCGGCCGACTGAAAAGAACACGTCAGGAGTGAAGAATGACCTGCAGGAATTCTATGTAGTGTTGACGTTACACGGCTAAGGGGAGGAGACCAGGTTTACGTGCGCCTAAATGGAAAGACGCGTGGCGTTAATACACATGTCCAACTGTCCCGAAGCCTTTCCAATAGGGCAAAGAATTATTAGTCACTACGAGACCGACAGAAACATATTATTTCGAACAGTTGCCACAATTTCCTCCTCCTTTTAACATTTAGAAGAACACTTTAAAAGACTAACGTTTCTACTCAGATCACAAAACCCACTCATTAGGCCACAGCAAGTAATTTTTATGGATGACATCAGCGCGCGCATTAATTTTCGAAAAAAAAACAAGAAATTTTGTTGCCTTCTGACAGTGGTCACCATGCCGAAAATGGATAAAGATGTCTGTTGCCATGCCGGAAGGTGGATGGTAGTGGATCGTGGATCGCTGTGCCTTAGTTTCTTTGCAATGAGCCTTCGGGCATCATTTGCAATTAAAAATATGACTGGGAAAAACGGCAGAGGTATTGTGGTTCTGAAAAATGATTCCATCTCATACAACTTTCATTTGAAAATGAAATCAGCTCGCCAGACCAAGGTCTCCTCTGCTTCAAATT